CGTCAGAGCGTTCAAAGCGTCCAAAGCGTCAACCAGCTTCTCCGTACTTTTTGACAAGCGTCCTTGACTGGGCGGCCACAGCTTCCTTTGACACTCAAGTCGGCGGCGGTGTGAACGTACAGTTAGTCATGCTGTGGCTTAGTAGCAAATCATGGCAGAATCAACATTTATTAGGGGAAATTATTGTTTTCCATCAGCATGCAGAAAAAAATTTGATCCTCTCAAAGTGTTCAGTACCCCATTTTGCTGTAATTTTGGACTTTCTGCCTGCCATGATAGACAGATGAAAAGGATGACATGATAGAGGAGCTCAAGCTAAGAGTAAAAGGAAAAGGAGATCAGGCGGTTGAGAAGATTGAACCTTCAGCTGCAAGAAGGTAAGAAGAAGAGACTCCTTGCAGAAACCTTTAACCTTTATCAATGATAATATTCTGGCAATGATAATAATAATAATTTTAAAAAAATCACACAACTGGCAATTGACAATTTTGAAGAGATTTTAATTTCTTCTTTTAATTTGATTGTAGGGCTGGCAGATACTATCACTCATCTTCCTAACCAAACAGCAGAGATAAAGGTATCTCTTACATAGTCAGGAGAAGTAATTTTATTTGTGTACCATGCATTGTTTGCTTACATTCATTATATTTGGGCAGCCTGCACAAATTAATATCTTGCATGTATGTTGCCTTTTTTATTTGTCCAAAATGAATGTTAGTGAATAGTGATGCTACTCTAGTTTGCCAAAAATTGCCACTATTAATGCATGCTTTGACAGGTTATTGTGTCCCTAATATTTGTTCATCTTTGCAGAATGAGTCTGTCACTGCCTTAATGAATCCAACCGCTGTGGAATATGCCCAAAGGTGTGAAGGCTACAAAAAACTCACCAGGACTGTGATGGACTCCATATTCACTGTGGAAGAGATGACGACGTGCTCCGTCACAGGAAAAAAAGGCATTGTCGGGGAGCAAAGACAGAGCCTTGACAAAGGCAAAGTGAAGCTAGTAATAGGTAAGGATGTCAGAATTTTGTTTGAGTTGGGCAAAATGCTATTGTATTAGCTTTTTTTAATTACCATCTCCAATGCAAATGGTCATAAGCCAGTGTAATAATTGCACTCTTGGATCACCCAGTCTGGTTTTACACGGTATGAATTAATTAGGCCCTTTCACCCCAAATTTGTTGGGTGAGTACTGAAGTAAATTTAGTAGAATTTCATTTCTTACAGACCATGTTAAAAAAGTTCACAGAGGAATCGGAGACACTGAGATCAAGGCCTGCATGGCACAAAATTTAAAAGACACCAGGAGACGAGCAGAGAGGGAAACATGGTAAACTATTTATACTTTATATATGCCAAGATACTAATGAGTGTGTTATTCATATAATGCAGTTTTGATTAATTTCTAGAGGGCACACAGTATAATAGAGTACAGTCTAGACTTGCTCTATCTAACAAGTGCCCTGATAACTTCTGTAATGAATTGGTGCTACAGGATCTGTGCTTATTTATATATTTGACTATTCTGAATACATAGACCAGGCATCACAATAGAACCAATCCTAGAATCCACATAGAAAATAAATAAACCTTTACTTTGACAGAATAGACTGGTGTTTGTATTGGCCTGATCTTTGATTTTGTCTTTCACTCCCCAAACAGGAGTCCTGCCGGGGAAAACCAAGAGGACTGAGACACACACACACACACACACACACACACACACACAATTAGATAACGTTTCTATCCCCAGAATAAATGGTTTGCCCCCTTTATTTGATTTTTAGAGTTTTTTTGTCCCATTTTACTGACAGTTTTGTTAATACAGTGAATGAATACTTGAATTGTTTTCTATTAAACACTCCATATTTGTAATTTTGTTTTAGCTTCTTTATTGCGAGACACATGGCAATATGCCTTCCTTATAGAGAACATGGTGCTGTTTTGCAATGGATTTCTGCTTACTCAATGTCCAATCTTCGTGTAAAATTTATTTTATTTGAATTGTGCTTTTATAAAGCCATTTTAGTCGATGGAAAATGAAAGCATCTTTAGACATAAGTTATTCGCTCATAGAGCATTCCATAGTTCCATAAAATACAAATAATCATAGACATCTGCATGTTGCATCTTAAAAAAAGAATATTGGACACTGGGTTGAAATCTGCCGTTGTATGGACAGATTCCTGCTGGATGCTCAGTCACAGCTAGCACCTCTTTTCATACCACCAACATAGCTAAATAAGTTCATTGCCTTTAGTTTCAAAGGTTGGGAGTTTGAGTCCAGGGTGAGCTCATTCATGGAGTCATAATTTGCATTTGTGTTTTGTAGGTAAGAAAATGTAAGTAACATTATTCACACGAAGTTCTAAGTTTACATGGCTTTCACATGAAAACCTACATGTATGTTTCACGTGGGATTTCACAAGGGCTTCACATGCATCCCGTAGGTTTCACCTGGGTTTCTATTGTTTTTACATGGGTTTCACATGTAATCCCATGGATTTCACATGCAATCCCATGGATTTCACATGCAATCCCATGGATTTCACATGTAATCCCATGGGTTTCACATGTAATCCCATGGGTTTCACATGCAATCCCATGGGTTTCACGTGTAATCCCATGGGTTTCACATGCAATCCCATGGGTTTCACATGTAATCACATGAGTTTCACATGGGAATATACATGGGGTTCACACATTACACCATGAAAATGTTCCAAAACCACATGTTTCCCATGTGCAAATTACCTTTAACATGTGCAAAGCACATGTGTTCCACATATTTCACATGTGAAATTTAACATGGAAAGCGCTGAAGGAAATCCGTGGAAAGCGCGAAAGGAAAATTGCAGTACTTTTGGCACCGGAAATGATCAAATCCATGGAGTTGCTGGTTAAAACACGTGAAGTTTGCGGTGTTCCGAAGGAGAACATCTACATGTTTGCAATCCCAGGCTGCGAGACATCATTTCGTGGATCAGACTGCCTGCGCTGCTTTGCCGTGGAGTGTGGAGCTAATGGCTCGTTTCCACTGAGTGGTACGGTACGGTACAGTTCGGTTCGGTAGGCAATTATTTGCGTTTCCACTGTCAAAAGTTGTGAATGGTACCAAAAAGCCGAACCGTACCGTACCACTTTTTGGGTACCCTTCCGTTGGGGTACCTAGCTCAGTGGTACGGTACTAAAAGGTGGAGCTAGACTCACTGCAGAACTGTGATTGGTTGACAGAGTATCGTCACTTGCGTGTGCTACAAGGGCATTAGAAGCATACATACAGTTGAAATATACTGTTATTGTGTCACGAAATGTAGTTTTAAGAGTTTTTTAGGCGAGAAAGTAGTTTTTTAAAGCTCAAATCTGTGGTTTATTTATAGATTTATGATAATTTGAAGATCCATTCCAAGCAATCACCGGACGCTCGGCGCTCGTGCACCCCGCCTGGAGCAGCCTTTCCCCGGCTAGTCATTCTGATGTTTGCCGCTGACTCTGACGTCTCTGTAGTGGTTAAACATGAGATATAATTAGTCTTGTACAGACCTAACAGGTGATCTTTGGTCTCGTGAATCTATAATTCGTTCCCTGGCCAATAGTTTTGGCAGAAGGCTAAGTGAAGTTTCATATATTTGAGAGCTGAATTTGTATATTTGACTGAATTGTTTGCTTTATGTTATTAAAGCTTTACTGTATATCTTTTTGTACCTTTTACTTATACTTTTATAATGGCTATTATTGATAAAACTGAAATTCAACAAAAATAGACAGTTGTCTTTTTTTTTTTTTTATTACAAGATCATCTGTAATGTTGTTTATTGCAACATTTGTTCCAATGCAATATGCAATACATTGCCTGGAATATGTTTAATATTTTTAAATTTAAACGAAAAGAGGCAGGGTTGTGTTTTATATTTAGTTTTGTTATAAATATAACGTTACATACATGCAGTGAATATAATCAATAGGCTATGCGTTGCCTGAACCAAATTTGTGTGCTTATAATGTTTAAAATGTATTTAAATTAAATCGAAAAGAAGCAGAGTGGTGTTTTATAACATATTTCGTCTTATTGCTGCCTAAAATGTACATAACCGGAGTAGAAGAGAGAGCTGAGTGGCGCATTCAAGAACGCGCTGTTCGATCAGCAGAATTACTGGACTCGCGTCCTCGGGATCATTCTCCTGAGTCGGACTTTGCGTGGCTACTTGGTATTGAGAAACGCCTAATGCCCGCGCTTGTTTCTTGTGACAAACATGCCGAGAAGCAAGAACAAGATATGCTGTCTGTCATCCATTGTTGTTAACTATGTCGCTTTCTTCGCGCGAAAATTACGTCGGTCGCTTCTTTCCGGCAAACACCACGCCTATCAAGTAAGGGTACTGTTGGCAGTGGAAACGCTAGCCGGATCATGCTGTACCGACCCGACCCGTACTGTACTGTACCGTACCGTACCGTATGCCTCAGTGGAAACGAGCCATAAATGTCCAAAAGCCCTATTGTCCACCAAGTTGCGCAAACACATCTCTACAATGTCCAGAGTTCTTAACATGAACGACACCGAAATGGACCAACTTGCTGATTTCCTGGGACATGATATTCGTATCCACAGGAAATATTACAGATTATCAGAGGGAACACTCCAGCTGGCAAAAATCACCAAAGTCTTGATGGCAATGGAGCAGGGAAGGCTTAACGAATTCAGAGGGAAAGGTCTTGACCAGATCAGCATCAATCCAACAGGTATGTAACCTGTTAATCGAGTTTAAACTACCTTTCAAGCGTGTCCTAGTGACTTTGGAAGAATCTGTGCATATCTCTGAATACTAAGACTATATTTCAGAATGCGCTGAGCCTGATGCTGGGATGGAGAGTGAAACAGAACTGTCAGATCATTCTTATGATGTGACGTCGAGCCAGGTAAAGATTTGTAAACACATTTTTTAAAGATGTTTGTCATTTCCATTAGTTAAATAATAATTAAATCATGCCTTCAAGCAGGCACTTCAGGAGTGAATAGCAGCAGGCCAGTAAACACGAATGAAGGTAAGATGTATGAACAGGCAGTTAAATGTTTAATGCAATCAGAATATCAAGAATTCCCCCCAAACAGCCTATCAGTAATTAGTAGTTTGATTTAGAAATGTATATGATTGTGTTTCTAAAGGATCTCCAGAGAGGACACGGGAGGTCATGAAAGTAACATCAGGTAAGGAACCTGTCCAGTAATAGTTTTTATTTGCTTTATTTATAAAAGGTCAACAACATCATAAAGAATAGTATAAAAATAATCCAGTCTTGCACCTACAACACATGCAGTGCAATTAATGTAATTTTCTTGTCATTAGTTCCTAGGAAGAGAAAGTGGAGTGAGGTGGAGATTGCGGCTGTAGAAGAGAAAATGATGAAATTTATTCACTCTGGAGTTACTCCTGGAAAAGTCGACTGCATTGCATGCATTACAGCAGCCCCCAAAGCCCTCGGTGAACGAGACTGGCAGGCGGTGAAGTATTATATAAAAAAACAGAATCACAGCATGAGAGAAGGACCACTAATAAGTAAGGTTGATTTTGGTTGTTGATTCTGTTTTTGCGTTTTAGTTGAATTATATTATCTGTTTTTTTGGTCTCAATACCATAGTTGGAAACATTATAATGTAATTTAAGTTTTGAAAGAGTTAAAACGGCTCGATGTTGGTTGTAAATTTGGTGCTTGGACTTCCTTGTTTTTAAGTCTGCAGGCAAAATGCTGTGTCAGGTGATAAGGAGTTGGTGTAAATGTTTTTTCTAATTGCGTAGATTAGTTTTACTGTACAGTAGCCATACGACAGAGTGCCTATAGTTTTCAATGCCTTTATTCAGGCCCCTTTACGTTTCACATTTTTAATTGTGTTGTGGATTTAATTTTAAATTGATTAATTTATTTTCTGATGGCACATTAGACGAAACGCATCATAAAAAATATATGTTGTAATATCTGGTGGCAAGCACGGAACCCATACTGTACTGTACTAAATTTGGCTGTAGATTCAATTTTCCTGGTGCGCTCTATTTTGTATCAAGGTCGTTTTTATTTCTTTTGGATTTTTTTAATGACTTAATGATTCAATTCTTAGAAAAAGCATTTCTAAGCAAGACAAAAAAAACTCTTATTTTGACCATTCCACTGATAACGTTCTAGTGCATGCATTACAGAAGCCCAAAAGCCCTCATTGAACAGGACTGGCAAGCGGTAAAGTATTGTGTAAAAAACAGAATCACAGCAAATGAGAGAGACCGCTTCTGGGGAATGATGCATGCAATACAACGTTATCAGTGGAATGGTCAAAATAAGAGGTTTTTGGGCTAGCTTTGAAATGTTCTTTCCGAGAATTGAATCAAGTCATTAAAGAGCAACGTGCAGGTTGAATTTATAACTGAATTAATACTTGATATTGTCTGAAGAGGTCTTTTAAAAACACATATGTAGAAATTACTAATGAAATCTCATTTGATGTAGAGATTTTGATGAAAATGTGCTAGGCTCTGGAATACGCCTTTCCCGCTAGCAACGCGTCATATGACGTAGGCCGAGGCAAACAAGAGCTCGCGGTCAGCTGTAGTTAGAGCGGTAGTGAGAGACAGAGAAAGTTTTAGATCGAGTTTTAGAGATGCCATAATGGTAAATTGTTGTGTTTGTACTGGTTGCACGAATTCCAGCCTGTCAGGAAATCGTGTCCATCATTTTCCTTCTAGGAAAAACAAGGCTTTTCGTTCTTGGGTGCGTTTTGTGCAGGTCAAGAGAGCAGACTTCACTGCCGCGTCTGTCACCACGCACATTTCACTCCGGAGAATTATAGACCTGGAGATTTTTTGCATCACAGACAGATGGTTTAATTAATACGGATTTGCAAACATTGCATTTTGCTGTCTTGCTCTGCGGTGTTTCCAGTGTTAAGTATTTACACACAGCTCAATGCTATCCTGCTTGCTGGCTGCAAACTGCGGAATGGATTTCCTGAGGGGGGTCTCTGTGTCTCATTGAGCCGCGCCTCATTTCAGGAAATCCATTCCACAGCTTGCTGCCAGCTAGCAGACTGGCCGGCGGGAATCACTTTTGGAGCCATTTCAGCAGGATATCGGATATCTCCGCAGGTTGGATCGGGAAAATCCGTTACATGAATTACACTGGTATCTGTCCCGATACCGACACTGGATCGGATCGGCCCCATCCCTACCTGTGGGCCATAGGCATGCTCGTCAACATCGGAGAACTCGGTTTCTTCATTCACATCCATTGTAACCTGAGCTTGAACTTGACCAGACTCCCTCGCCCATCGTCACTTCCGGTTAGTGCTTTATAGACGCGGAAGTTCTTTTATCACAATTTATCTCAAAATATCGTTAATGGCTAAATATATATTACTCCAGTTCAGAAAATCTAGTTGTTTTATCATCAACATACACTATGCTATTTAGGGGTGTCCAACCTGCATGTTGCTCTTTAAGAAAATATCCCTGAGAAATAGAAACGACATTGATACAAAAAGGAGCGCACCAGGAAAATCTAATCGACAGCAAAATCTAAGCAGTACAGTATGGGTTCCGTGCTTGCCACCAGATTTTACAACATACATTTTTTATGTTGATTTTAGTTATGGATTCTGTTTTTGCATTTTAGTTGAATTATATTACCTGTTTTTTTTTTGTCTCAAATTACATTATAATGTTTCCAACCATGGTATTAAGTTTTGAAAGAGTTAAAACGGGTCGATGTTGGTTGTAAATTTGGTGCTAGTTTTACTGTACAGTAGCCATACGACAGAGTGCCTATAGTTTTCAATGGCTTTATTCAGGCCCCTTTACGTTTCACATTTTTAATTGTGTTGTGGATTTAATTTTAAATTGATTAATTTATTTTCTGATGCCACATTAGACAAAACACATCATAAAAAATATATGTTGTAATATCTGGTGGCAAGGACGGAACCCATACTGTACTGATTAAATTTGGCTGTAGATTCAATTTGTATCAAGGTCGTTTTTATTTCTCTTGGATTTTTTTAATGACTTAAAGATTCAATTCTTAGAGCATTTCAAAACAAGACAAAAAAACTCCATTCCACTGATAACGTTAATAATTTTAGACAATTTAAGAATTGTAGCTCTGATCTACTAACCTTCCCAAATGTGTTATTAGTGGTTAACTACAGGATTCTTAACTTTACCTGAAACATAATACATACTTTTAACAGTAAGCTTACCATGTATACGTTTAATTGGTTTGGTAATTAAAAAAAAAAAAATTGTGTGTATCTACTTGTTGTGTGCTCTCTCGGGTTTAGGGTGGGTGTTTGTAAAAGCACTCTGTGACAACTTTGTTTTAAAGGGCTTTATAATGTAAATTAGATTGACTTTGATATGAGCAGCAAAATCACATTCAACGTACGGCTCTCATGGGTCATAATCAGTAAATGTAGCAACTGAATTGTGTAAGAATGAGTTAAATGCAGTATATTATTGTGGCAGTCTTGGAGGACTGAAATGACTTGCAGTTGAAGATTGCATGTTGTTCAAGTTCATTTTTGAAGTTAAGCTGAACTAACTTATTAAACCACCCTATTTTTAACAAACCAATATAACTTCCGGAAATACCATTATGAATTGGCCAGCTGGCCATATTATGACCTTTCTTTGTCTGTAGATTACACTGGTTTGTCCCCAGATTGGACATCCATGTGTACTTATTGATACACTAGTTGGTCAGGGTTTTGTCCCCAGATGGGACTTCCTGTTAATGCCCATATAAGGAGTTGTCCCCGTGTCCCCACGTGTGTTAACCTAACCTGTCCCCAGATTACCACCTACCCTTATTTTAATGAATTAATTACATTTTAAGAGAGGTATTTATTAAACTTTTTTTTTTTTTATGTGTTTATCTAGTCTCTAGGATGTCATGAAAGTGGTGTCCCCAAAATGTGGTAAATAACTGGTGCCCCCACGAGGCACCCCAAACAAGTATGCGTGTGTGTGTGTGTGTGTGTGAGAGAGAGAGAGAGAGAGAGAGAGAGAGAGAGAGAGAGAGAGAGAGAGAGAGATTTTGATTTTTACAAACTTTTATTACAAAATCATTTCACAGTATATTTACAATACAATATGCATAAATATTAAGAGCAGCCCCAACTCACAATCAATGTGCAAAAAACAAGTCACCTTCAAATACAGAGCACAATGCCTCATTGCAACACCAAATACCTTCAAAGGTAATGAGATCATCCATATGCTTGTAAAAAGCAAAATCAATTAATATCCTAGCTTTCAACATGTTTGAAAACATAGCAACTACATTCTGCTCAGAGTTTTGCTCGATTTTCTTTTTTCTACTAGTATAAATAGCCAACTTTGCTTGGCCTAACACAAAATTCAACAACTGACATACAAATCTGTTTTTCAACACATATTTAAAACCAAAAATAAATAATACTGTCGAAAAAGTTTCATTACACCTCTGAAAAATACTTTCTAAAAACAAAAATAAAGGCTTTAATCTTGCACAGTTCACAAATGCATGAAAAATGGTTTCTCTTTCAGTGCAAAAAGGACATTGAGCATCAACCTCAGAATTTAAAATTGAAACAAAAGCATTGACGGCGACAGCGCCGTGAAGAATTCTCCACTGTAAGTCACCTGTCTTTTTCGTCAACGGTGGTTTATAAAGTGCTCTCCACTCAGGTTTTCTATCCACGTTCAATGTAAAAAAATCACGCCACGGAGTATCTGTTTTCTTATCTAGCATTTTTTTGTTAAACATAATGACACAATACTTATACAAAGTTTTCCCAGTACAAGAAAAAAAGTCTACACACAAGGAATCAAAACTTTTTAAAAACACTCCAGAAACCTCTTCTAGGTTCAAAGAAAACAACAAACAAGGAAAAGAGTCTTCAGGATTTGGTTTACAGAGACCATCACGACACTCAGTCAACAAAGTTCTTTCTGTTGTATTAAGAAGCGTCTGCCATTTCACCAATAGCTGCACAACTAGACGAGTTGATCGAATTCCCAGATGTTGAGCCGTCGCTTCTTCATTCTTAAAATCAAGTCCTGCTATTTCCAGTAATTGCCTCAAAGTGGTGGTTTTACGGTCAATGAGTGTTTTGTTAAGTCCTGGAAAAAGGCCACCGGCAGACACATCCAGACGTGCTCCACGAACTAGAGGCTCTTCCAAAAGCCAATGAAGTGACTGTGAAACCTCTGCTTTTTTAAAAACAAAAAGACTCCAAACCTTAAAAAGGTTCTTATAAAACACTGGTAAACCAGAAGTGTTCAATTTTGTAGGGTCCAGAAAAAAAATAGTTTTGTCCAAACCCAGATCCTCAAGATTACGTAAAATAACATATGCGACAGAACACCATTTATATTCAACTGAACCAACTAGTAGTTTTTGTATGAGTTGCAACCGAAAAGTTGCGATTCTGCTGTGAAGATGTATTAGACCCTGTCCACCCTCCTCCTTAGGCAAGAATAACACACTCTGTGGGACCCAATGCAATTTATCCCAGAAGAAATCTACTAAAATAGTTTGGATTTTCGCTAAAAGATGTGAGGGAGGATCAATACATGCAAACTTATGCCACAGTGAAGAAGCAACTAAATTA